GGCGGGAGGGGTGGGGGAGGTAGGGCGGGAAGGGTGGGGGGCGGCTCAAGGGGGTGTGAGAGGGTCCGGCCCACACTGTGCCTGGGTTGGGACTGGTCCTGCCGGCGCAGGGTAGCAGGAAGCTCTCCACACACTCACCGGACCTGGGCTAGGACTGGGTCTGCTAGGAGCTTTCTAAGAATACAAAATGCATGGCCTCTGTGTGCTGCACTGTTTTCCTAAGGCTGAGAGGTGTTACTAGAGGGGTGGAGGGTGGAGCTTGGCAGCGTACATTAGTAGCTGGATTTGTGAGAAAAAGAGATGATGCCTGTTTTTGCTCTGGCACACAACCACAACTCAAGAACTATATTTAAGGGAAACAAACACAAGTGGATGAATTATCATTGCTTGAGTATAACTAGAGTCCATACAAACAAGTTGTTAAAACATCTATCTGGTCATTTGTATGTTTGAAGTCCAGCATCTGCACACCTGATAAATGAGCTTCTGAGATTTTTACCCAGCCACTGTAAGTGCCATAGATGGCACCCCAGAGGTCTCTCAATTTGTGAGAGAGCCAAATGAGAATTTAGGGCTCAAGATTCTCAAGTGATGAACATGACAGAAAAAAATAAGGTCTTGTGAGTCCTAGAAATCTTTAGGTCACAGCCTTCCTGGTATAGGCAAAAGACTCCCTCCAGATCCCGAGCTCCTCTGCAGCAGACACACATCTGGATGAGTCCACAGGGCTGCATGGACAGCAAGTAGTGTTGGGGCAGCTGCTGTGGTACAGAGCTGTCCTGTACCCTTCTCTGGATGGGCTCTCAGCTGCTGGAGAAGTCAGGTCTGGAGGCACATGGAGGTTGAGTGTGTAGTGTTCCACTCTGTCCCTAATATGGCCTATAGTGGAAGGATGCCCAACTGTCATCTAAGAGGGGAAAAAAGTCATTCAAAACTAGTAAAGCTTGTGTGTTTTATATACTTCTTATCTTTACCATGTGATGCAGGATAAGAAATACCCAGAAAGGAAGTCTTCCACTCAATAGTCAACAGCTGGAAAGTAGCAAAGCTAAAGGATTTGAGTTTTCTTCAGTGTTTGAGAAGAGGTGAGTCTATTCTCTTCATATGTTCTCATTCTCTGTCTCTCTCTCTCTCTCTCTCTCTCTCTCTCTCTCATTTTCTCTTTCTATCTCTATCTTTATTTCTATGTCTATCACTCTGTCTGTCTGTCTGTCTGTCTGTCTGTCTGTCTTTCTGTCCCTGTGCCTCAGTGCTGGAACAGAACTCAGGATTTCATGCACACGAGGCAAGTGCTCCACTGCTGAGCTGCCCCAGCCTGTTCTTTCCTACTCATCCTTTCCTCATTCTTTCTCCCACTGCCAACCCCAGAAATGTCCAGACTCTCCCTGTCGCCTCAGGTTTGGCACATATCAAACTGGCCCAGGCCCCTCTTCCCCACACAGAAAGACACAGGACACAGTTGTATACACATGTGTGTGAATTTTTATCATAGGCAAAATTGTTCAGTAACAATAGAAACCAGGGCAGCAGTTGCCTATTGAAGTTTCCACTGGAAAGTTTCAAGAATGAGTTTATGACAGGAAGAAGGTATTCCCTATCTTCACTTGGGAATTGGGAATACAGTAAGAACCTTTGTTGAAATCCATGATGATGAACTTTCAAGATCTAGGAAGTATTTTAAAGAAAAATATCTAAAATTTTATCGTACACAAAATGAACCCCAGTAAAAGAAACCAAGATCAAAATACAAACACAGTATAACTGTACACAAGGAAAGCTTACATAATGAAGAGTTATTCTTAAGTGGACAAAGTGTTTGAAAATATGGGAGATTTCCAGAATTTATGAGAAAAACATCATCAAACTACAGAAAAGTAGATGAACAGTTCATGGGAAAAGATACAAGTATTCTCAACTTCAGGTATACTAATAAATAAAAATAAGTGAGAAGAACATTTTTCAGCCATCCAAAGTTGCCAAACCTTGGTGAAAATGTGGGGAAAGAGAAACTTAAGACAGCTAGCTTAGTAATATTTACCATAAATGCAAATGTGACTTTGAGCTTGTGATTCAATGAATCCATTTCTGAGAATTTACCTAGAATTTACCTTCATTGACCTAGAAATACTTGCAGATACCTCAACATGAAGGATTGCAGCAACACTTAGAATAGCAAATACTTAGGGACAACCACATATCCACTCACTAAAACAGTCAAGCTGTGCAACGAAATGAGGACTCTTTCTATATATTGAGATAGAAATGTCCCTAAGATGCATTAACAGAAAAATATCTAGAACACTCTATAATAAGCTTTTTGTGCAAATGACAAAGATAATAAAAATGCATAGTCATTTTCATGATAAAGCACCTATGCAATATTACTCAAGAAACACAACAAATACTAGGAATTACCAGAAAGGAATAAAAATGAGGGGCCAGGAAGGCACTGGGCAAGGAAGGTCAAGTGTGAGTGATCTACCGTTATTTGCTTTCTCTTTAGATTTTATAACCATGCACACATTTCATCTGAGAGAAAATGTGCATGGGTAAATAGATTCTGGAACACCCAAACCAAATGCAGTTCAACTGAACACAGAGGACAAAGTAGAGTCCTTATCTGATTCTTTTAAGTACTTGGGAAGATTTCACTCTTCTCCCTCATCCTCAAACAGTCTTTAGAAATCTTCCTCTGAGCCAGAAAGGCAGACTTTCAGCTTGCAAGAGGTGGGGGTTCTTTGATTCTCCGTGGGTTGGTACCAAGAGCAGGGAGAGGATGCGCTCTTCCTGCACAAGCTCATGGTCAAGGCTGATGCTTGGATTCTGAAGGCAGCTGTAGTGTGTCACACAACTGTCGCCAGGCCCCTCCCATCTTTGGAAATACCAAGGTATATGTCAAGTCATGCAGCCGACAGCTCCTATGACCTGGTGACAGTCCAGCAGGTGAGAAAGAAGAGCAGGCTAGACTAGGTAGGTCCAGGGCCAGAGAGATAGCTCAGTGGTCTAAAGCATCTGCTTAGGCAAGGTTAGGCAGGCACAGAGAACCGCGGTTTGATCCGCAGCACCACATACTGCACCAGCCCAACCCTCAGCTGAAACAACCCTATTTTTCAACTTATAGAAAGAAACATGGATTTCCCTAATAACATGCCTTAGAGGAGTAAGCTGATTAAATTACCTCACTGTTCAAAATTTAGGAAGTTTTGTACTTAAATTTCCACTGTGGTCCCACAGCAACTCTAGGGTCCGCAGAAGGAGGGTCCCCCTTAAGAATATGAGCACTTTTCATAATACACATTGCCAGGAGTCTTGAACCACAGTAGTATACTACATTGCTGTAGGAAAGGATACTGAGACAAGGGTTAGATACACTGGAAAAATCTCTAAAGCGATCTGGGGAAGCAAGAGAGTTAGCAGGACACTTACTGCTGGGTGTGGTTGTTTCAAAAGGACAGTTGTTCCAAATAAATGCTCACAACAAAATACTGTTTTAAAAGTTGTACCATGTTGACTGTTCAGCTAATGCCATGTTATTTTAAATACATAAGCGTTCTTCAAAATGTGAGGGCAGTTTCATACTTTCACTTGCAACTTTATTTTTCCCATAAATTCCTTTGAGATTTGTTTGGGTGAACTAATGCTGGCTGTATCTCATTTACTCCCAGGATGACAGAAGCAAGTCGACAAATGTCCTTAGCTCCTCCCCAGCCCTGTGAAGTTATTTTCCATAACAGTTCTGTGGATCTAGGTGTCCCACGTAAGTAACACATTATAAAGTGGATGATAACATTGAGACTCCATCTATTTGCAAGGAGGATGAGGAATTAAAAGTTGGGCCATTCTACTTGAAAACACTGTGCTACTTGAAATAAGCATAATACAAAAGGACAAAAACTCTGATCCTACTCATATGCAGTACTCATATTCCTAGATTCAGAAAGAATGGTGGCTGTCAGAGGCTGGAGAAGGGGGATAGAGAGTTGGTGTTTACCAAGTAGAGTTTCAGTTTTGTGAGATTAAAGTTCTAAAACTAGATGGCTGAAAAACAATGTGAATGTGCCTGATCCCACTGAGCTGTGTATTTAAGAATGGTTGATTGATTTTACAATTATAAAAACCAATTTATGTTATCAATTACTTATCAAAATAAGTAAATCACCTCCATTGTAATCTATTTTTAAAAAGAAAGTAGTTTTTTGGGCAAAAGATATTCCTTAGATTTGAGAAATCAATGTGTTTGACATAAAGCATGTGCAATTTTTTTTTTCCTGTATTTTAGGGAAAGGTCTACAGGGTGTTCAAGGTCTCATTACTAGATTGGACTCATAGTGATTCTCCTGTTTACAGCCTCCCTAGTGCTGGGATTATAGGTGTGTGCCACCATACCCAGTTTTATTTGCTGTCTCAGTGTGCCCTGGGAGCAGGGCCAGAAGGGCAAGCCTGGGGAGTGATCCCCCAGCCCCTGCACCTACTTGCAGATGCTTTAATCCACTGAGCTATTAGGCCAGCAAACCATGTGCAATTTGAAAGAAAATAATGCCTGATTTCCCTTTTCTAAGTCACAAAATCCTCAAATGTCAATTCTGAGGTTTCAAAGTTTTGAGTTTCCATTGTACCATTTAAAATGGCATTAACGTCAAATAATTTTTTTTTCCAAAGAAACATGCACATCATTTGGTATGCAGTTAAAATAGCCCAGTTCTGTATGAGCCTTAAAAAAAGTTATTTCAATTCTCCCTCCCTGAGTATGAAATACATTCAGAAGTACCTGGACAGACAGATGGCTGAGGCCTTGCCTGACCACTGTTTGGCAATATTAATACTGAATGTTGTCATAGAGAAAGAAACAAGACAAGGAAAACATTCAAAACTGTGATGAAACAGTTGGTATTCGTTGGCATGAAAGCTAGTTGCTCCCTTTGTGTGACCAAGGTGTTTTTTGAAAGCTGTAAAATTTTTATTTGTTATTTTCAATATATTTTAGTAGTGTTTACTCATTTTGAAAAATATTGGGTTTGAGTATATTTTCACACTTGCATATGTTTTTGATCAGATCCATTTCCCCTACTACCCTCCTTTACATCCCTTTCTCAGTTGTAGAGGTTTTAGTTCTAAGCTTTCTCACCGTAAGTTTATCTCTGGAATTTATGCCTGTTGGGATGATCACTATTTGTCTCTGGGGCACATACATATACATATAGCTCTTTAAGCCCATTTTACATTCACCATTTTACTTTTTGCCCCCTCTCCCTAGAGCTATTAAGGAAGAAATAGCTAAATAACAATGGGAGGTAAAAATTAACATAAGCAAGAAAACAGAGAAGACAGAAGGATTCAGGCTGACATTGCTCCCATCTTCATTCCCTACTGCTGACCTTAATTCCTCTTCCCCTAAGAAACTGGCCTGAACAGAGTCCTTCCCTGGGCTCTCAGCACACCTCACCTGCCAGTCGCACCCAGCCACAGGCTTAGCCTTCGCACCTGTGCCCACCAATCCACTCTGCAAACCCTGCCTGAAACCAGTGTTCTTACTGATGCCATTGGTTTCCTGCCCTCTAGCTGCTCCAGAGCCTTCTTCTAGCAATTCACTAAGTGCTCCCCCATCATCAATTTCTCAGTCTCCACTGGCTTCTCCTTCCCAGTGCACACAATTGGTTGCCTTAGGAGGTGGAACCTTCTTTGGACCTCATATTATCCATTAGAGTTTGCCTCATTTCTTTTTTTTAATATTAATTTTATTGAGAAAGAAATAGCATTGAGACAGTTTCAAAACAGGTTAGTAGGACAGTTACAATAATTAATACATTGCATATTGTTGTCTTCATAGTAGTTATTCAGAGTACAAGTTGCAGACATGATATCCTGTCTAAACACTATTAGTACAAATCATTCTTCTCATTGGACTAAGAGAAAGTAGATGTATATCTATACTAACTATTTTGTATATACATATATATTTTTTTTCACTACAAAATGGTCCTTCATTTATATCCCCCTTTTTTGTTTTCTTTTGTCAGAGATGGGTATTTCATTGCCATTCAAATATTGTAGGTGTGTGAATTCAGCAAAGTAATCCAATATACTCCAGT